TGCTTACAAAGCCTTTCCAAAGCTGCTGACTGGCCAGTGCTGGGGAAATGCTCCCTGGGTTTCCCCGTGCCTGATGCCGTGTGTGGCTGCTCAGGGCGGGATCCCCGTGGTGGCCGTCTCCGAGTGCCTGGCCTACATTTGTGTCTGTTTTCTTTGGCATCCTCCAGCATTTCCCTTGGAAGGAATGGCCAATAACACAGTTCCTACTCAGACATCTCCCTCTGACAGACAGCTCCCATAAAGATCATCATTCTCATTCTTGGGAGCCTCGTGCTGTTCCACTGTCTCTTTCAGGCTGTTCTCCTCTGGGGACAGGGTCACAAAACCCACAGAGTACACAGAGATTTGCAATTAGATCTGCTCTCTAATTCTTTTTCCCCTAATCTGAAAAATGTGACAAGTAAACTGCAGGTTTTGTAGAAATTGTCCAAGAAAATTCAGAAGAGGTTTGTGCTTCCCTTTGACCCCAAATCTGCTGGCTTTGAAAGAAATATTTAGATGAAGCTCCTCCAAAAGTTTACAGAAGAGAGTAGCTATTTCTTGTAAAAATAAATGCATGAAAAGCCCTAAGAATTTCTCTTGAAAACTAATTTTAGTGGAAATTTCTCAGGTAGTTTCAGGGAGCTGTGGAGCTCAGCATACCCTCTGGTACCGGAGCCTGGTTTCACCGGCCTGGGGACCTGAGAGCTCCCTTCGGCAAAACCAGAGGACAAGTTGAAAAAGAAATTAAAATAAAAATCCATTCTGTTTTTTTGCAGTGATATTGATCCTTCTTTCCATAAGAATTCCTACACAAATTAAAACTAAAAATAGAAGTGGGAGTTACATATCTGTGCACAGTTCTGAGTGAGAATTAAGCCTCTGATGTAGAACACATAGATGGGTGCCTCGCTCAGCCCCTGAGGGGATCTGTGTCACTGTGCCAGCTTAACACAAGAGAAAAAGGGATTTGCCTGGGTCAGATTGAAGGCAGCAGGGTCCTTGCAGGGAGGGAGGCTGTGTCACAGGGAAAGAGGAAACATCCAGACACGGGACACAGGGGAGCTGCTCCAACAGGAGCTCACCCAGTGCTGGTGCATGGCAGGGCTGGAGCTGCTCAGTTCCACTCAATTAATGCTCTCATTTCCCTACTCTCAGCAAGGGGCAGTGGTGTAGAGCCCCCTTGGGAAAGGGCTGTGTCCAGCACATGTGCTGGCTCTGCAGCAATGCTCTCAAGATGGGCTTGGGGTCTGGCTGCCAGATCCAGCTCCTTGACATGTTACAGAGAAGAAAAGACAATGATCTCCACTTCCCTAAGGACAATCCTTTCAAAGTGATTGGAAAGTCACCAGCTCTAGCCTGATGGCATAAATCACTTTTAGGTGAGCCTTCAGGTATGTCCTGTGACTCCACTTAGGGCTCTGTTTGCCAAAAGGGAATCATTTCATCTCCTCAGTGATACCACATAACCTCCCACAGCTGTCTGGGCAATCCTCCTACAGGGGAACCCAAGATGCTTGTGAACCAGCTCCTGAGCTGCAGGAGTTTACAGGCCTGAGCTTTAAAGAAAGCAAAAGCAGAAATGGTCTTTGGAAAGCTCTGTGTGCATTCTGGCAGCTCAAGGAAAGCGTCACAGCATCCCACAAACAGCGGTTCACTGCGACAGCAGCGGCACCCCAAGCAAAGCCATCCTCCAGCATCCATCCAAATGCCTGAAGTCTGAATCCAAAGTCTCTGAAGACTCCTGGTTTGTTTGAGCCTCTCCTTATTGGAAACATCAGGCTTCCATTCCCAGCTGCTGGACTAGACAGACCACTGAGGGCCAAATCCATCTGTGACTCTTCCCTGCATCACAAGGAGCCACGGAACTGGTGAAGGGGCTGGAGCACCAAGGTGATGAGGAGTGGCTGAGGGAGCTGGGGGTGTTCAGCCTGGGCAGGAGGAGGCTCAGGAGGGACCTTATTGCTCCCTACAGCTGCCTGAGAGGAGGCTGTAATGGGGTGGGTGTTTGGGGGCTGCCCATCACAAACCTTAAGCCATCCAGATTCAAGTTTAGTGTCCAACTTCCATCATCCTTTATCCTTTCGGAGATCCTGCTGGATCTGCCTGGTCTGGCAGAACCTTGAATCTGGAGTCACAGCTTTTCAGTTGTGCAGGTTTCCCCATTCCAGTTGCTCTGCAGAGGACAGCAGGAGCTGCCTGTGTTTTCATGTCCCAGATGGGAACATGCCATCACACTCCATGTGAGACAAGTCCACCTCAGAGCTGTTTGTTTTCTCTGCCTGATCAGCTGGGACACAGAGCTCAGGACATTGCAGCTCTGCCCCATTTCACCCTCCAGGTAGAGGAACACAAGCTCAAAAGAAGGAATTCTACCAGAATTCATTCTACCAGAGCTCCTTGCTTTCTTTTTCTCCCCTCAAGCAGCCAGAAACAGATGCCTCAGGCTCCTGGTACCAGTCACTCACGTAACAGCAGCTCTGCCCTGTTTGTACAGTGCCCTTGTTCCCAGGCCTTAACTCATCCTTACACAGCCACAAACCATCAATGCTCAGCCTTGTGGTGCTGCAAGGAGGGGCTGATCCCTCAGGAATGGGGCAAACAGCAACGAGAGGGCTCAAATTGCCAGCCCTGCACCCTTTGGTAGTGGTTCCTCTCTGCTTCAGCAGGAGCACATGTTCTGAAGCCATCTCAGGGGAGCAGCCCCTCAAGACAGGTTTTTAAAATGTGTTCTCAGGACATGAGGACATGTTCTCATGACCTTTTGCTGCCTCCTTTCCTCAAGGTGCCTCGATTCTGCCCCTGCCACTGTAATGTTTAAATCCCAAACACCTCCACACAGCCCTGGAGTTTTTACCAGTTCTTCAGCCTTCCACCTCCTTGCAGTATCTTTGACCTTCCAGAGCAAGCAGTACAGGCTTTGCAAAGGACCTGTGTAACCAACCACAGGAATGTCACTGTCACAAACTGTAAGAACTAAATGCTCTCAGCTATCATATTAAAGAAAAGCCCTTTCCTACCCCGAGCAAGCCCCTTGTTAAGGGATCACCAACAGCTCAAAACAGACACAGCCTTTCCTGCCACTTTTTCATGTCTTTGTGACATCAGGGTGACCACTGGACACTGGCAGTGCTGTTTTCCTTTCTTTTTGAGAAAAAAGAGCACAGTTTATTGCAAATACACCTAAATCTCTTGTAATTGTTGCCTTTGCTGTGGTTTATTACCGGCTTGTAATGCTCTGGGTGAATGGAAAACTATCATCCACTTTTTATTTTTTGGGTTTGGGTTTTTTGGGCATTTTTGGTTTTGTTTTTTGCTTTGTGTGTGTTTTTTAATCACTTGGGTCAAGAGAGCAACAGGTGAACTCACTTAACAATGGATGGCCAAAAGCAGCCCAAGTACCTACACCTTGCCATTAGGTTAAGGGCAGCCAGATGTTTTGGCTTTTGTAACCAGCTGTTTCTTTCCACTGCCAAAAAAACCTGCCTGAATGACTAATTAAGGTTAAGTGTGATGGATCCCACCCCTTGTCTCATTGCATTTCAGTGCCTGGTGTTTTGAAGAAACGCTGTCCTTGGTTTCAGAAACAAACCCCTGGACTATTTTGTCTGCTTTAGCATTTTGTGTAAGACAGAAGCCAGCAAAAATCGTTCAGAGGAGGAATAAAGCCCAGCCACTGACAGTCCTAGAATTATAGAATTGTTTATGTTGGAAAAGACCTTTAGGATCATCAAGGCCTGTCACTAATGTAATACTGCCAAGGCCACCACTAATCCATGTGTCTAAGCACCACATCTGCATGTCTTTTGAATTCCTCCAGGGATGGGGACTCAAGCATTTCCCTGGGCAGCCTGTTCCAGCGTCTGACAAGCCTTTTGTTGAAGGCAGATTTTTTAAATATCCAGTCTAAACCTTCCCTGGTGCAGCTTGAGGCACAATTGCTTCTCACTTGGGAGAAGAGCTGGCTGCAGCCTCCTTTCAGACAGTGTGGAGAGCAACAAGGTCCCTCCTGAGCCTCCTCCTCTGCAGGCTGGGCACCCCCAGCTCAGCTGTTCCTCATGTGCCTTGCTCTGCAGACCTTTCACTGGCTCCATTGCCCTTCTCTGGGCCTGCTCCAGCGCCCCAATGTCCCCTCTGGATTGTCAGGGGACAGAAACTGAACCCAGGATTTGAGGTGCAGCCTCCCCAGTGCCCAGTACAGGGGGATGATCCCTTCCCTGCTCCTGCTGGCCACATACTCCTCATACAGGCCAGGCACCATTGGCCTTCTTGGCCACCTGGGCACACTGCTGGCTCATGTTCAGCCAGCATTTCTAGGTCCTTTTCCCACCAGGAAAGCCTTCTCCAGGTCCTTTTCCTGCCAGGAAAGCTTTCTCCAGGTCCTTTTCCCACCAGGCAGCCTTCCAGCCTCTCTTCCCCAAGTGTGTAGTGCTTCATGGAGTTGTTGTGACCCAGGACCCAGCTCTTCATCTTGTCCAACCAAGTGGCCTCAGTCCCTTGATGCAGCCCCTGCAGATCCCTCTGCAGAGCCTTTCTGCCCCCCAGCAGGTCCCACCCAGCTGGGTGCTCCCTGCAAACTGAGGGTGCACCCCATGCTCTGGTCCAGACCACTGGTAATGTTATGAAACACAACACCCAACCCAAAGAGAAGATCTGTCTTTAATCCCCTGTAAATTTGAGTCTTATCCTTGTCCTGAAGGAAGAGAATTTAATATTCCTTGCAAAATCCCTGGCTTTTGGATAATCTCTGTCATTGTTACTCTGGACAAGCTTGTTTTTCACAAAAACACCCATTATTTTTTTAACCTTGCTGAGCTCCTGATCACAAATCTCGATCTTGTGCCTATTAATACCACGAGGCAACTGCGAGGGGAAGCTGGGTGCTGCCAACACGTTTAAAGAATGCAACTTTGACCCTTTCCCAGGCTTTCTAGGTGACCCCCAGGGAGAAGACAGCATCCCATGGGAGCCAGAGTTGTCTGTTGGTTTAGCAATGCAGGTGGTTCCTCCTGTCTCCCCAGGGCATGAACCCTCACCTGCAGATCAACGGGCCGATGAACATCAACCACTACGCCACCAAGAAGAGCGTGGCGGAGAGCATGCTGGACGTGGCGCTCTTCATGGCCAACGTCACCCAGCTCAAAGCTGTGCTGGAGCAGGGCACGTCCTTCCAGTACTACTCCACCCTCATCGTGCTCATCAGCATCTCCCTCTTCTTCCAGGTGATGATTGGGATTCTCCTCATCGTCACGGGTAAGGCGTGTGTGCCCCGGCAGGGTGCTGCAGGGACAGGGTGCTGCAGGGACAGGGTGCTGTGGGGTGGAAGGGAGGAGCCTCTTCCCCCAAACCTTTCCCCTCTGGCTCCATCCGGGGCTGGATGTGGGTGGCAGGGAGAAGGTTGGTGTCAGTGGGAATGGTGGGTGGGTTGTTTTTGGTTTGCACGTCTCTGAGCACAGCTCTTCCTTCACTTTCCCACTGCTGGCCCCTGTGGAAGAGTGGGGATTTGGGCAGGGTGGGCCCCTTGCTGCCCCCCTGCTCCCTCATGCAGCTCTTGCAGACACCACCTTTCAGCTGTATCTTGTGTCCTGTTTCACCTGGGACTAAACAGAACAATTTAGGCACAGAATTCCCTGTTTTAACCTCACATTTGACCAATCCCACAGTTTTCCTACTGGCCCACAGACAGTACATTAACACCAGCATTGGTTTGCTGGTGCCTGCCCAGTGCTCCATCTGGTATAGGAGTTGCTGGATTTCAGTCTCCAACAGATTCCCACTATTAAAAACCTGCAAAATGCTGCATTTTCCTGCATATCCTACAGAACATACAGGGTTTTTCCAGGGGGCAGAGGATTGGAGGCTTTGGGAAATGAACAATGCGTTCCTTCCCCTGTGGCACACACCACAGCTTTTCCTGGTGCCAGCTGGGAGGAGAGAGGGGACAAGGGACCACAAGGTGGCTGCTGTTTGCATGGCTTATTGGCCAGAGAGCCCTGGTAGCCAGGTCTTGCTGTGTCTGAAGGGACCAAGGTCCATCAGCCAGGACTGACCCCGTTCATGTAGCCAGGGCTGAGAGCTGTGTCACCACAGAGGTGGCACCTGGCTGCTGGGGAGGAACTGGCTGTGCAAGCAGAGCACTGCAGCCCTCGTCTCCCGTGTCCCACAGCCTGTCCCCACCACACCCCACGGCCATGCAGTGCTGGGGGCACCGTGGCACGTGTCTGGCCAGGGTGCAGAGTAATTGCCTGCTTAGGGCTGACCCACTGCAGGGCCATGGCATCTTCATGGCAAAACAAAACATTTTGCCCAAAAATCAAAACAAGGTGAGTTTTTCTCTGCTGCAGCCCTCTGTGTCATCCTAGAGCAAGCTCCTGCAGGACTCCTGTGACTATCCCCTCTGCTCTGTGGCCTCAGCACTCAGGGGCACCGTGAACATTCAGCAGGCAGGGGAGGCTTGCAGGAGCTGGGGGACTCAGAGTCAGTCTGCAAGCCCCCTCCTCTTTTTGGGTTGTGTTGCACAGCTCGTCTGAACCTGAACGACATCGCCAAGCAACCCCGCCTGAACATCCTCAACAACGCTGCCACAGCTCTCATCTTCATCATAGTCATCCTCAACATCTTCATCACAGCCTTCGGCGTGCAGAAGACTGGCCTCTACCCTGCCAGGAATTTTGGACCTTATTAATTCATGGGGCAGTGGATTCAGGTAAGAAAGGGTGAGTTCCCATCACTGCCAGCCCCTGGGAGGGCTCTCAGGCTCAGAAAACACCACAGCAAGGCGGAGAAAGCACAAATTAACAAAACCTTTCCAGAGGCACGCTGCTGTCCCACAAAAACCTGCAGCCACTGAACAAATTCCCTCAGAGGAGGAGGAGCTCTCCTCACTTGGTCCCTAAAGCAAGAAGAGCAAACATCCCAGTTGTGGGATTTCCCAGCAGCTTTTGGAAGGCTGCAGGGCTCATGCTGGATACGAGCAGCAGCTGTGGATGGGAGTTCAGAGCTAGCTGTGCTCTGGGAGGAAGCCCAAGCAGAAGGAAAGGAAGGTGCTGGGCAAGGCAGGGGGGAAGAGCTCTTTACAACAGCACCTGTAGCTGGGCAGGGACTCTTTTAAGCACCTAATGCTCATTTTCAAGGAAGCCCTGTAAGTAAGTGCTCATCCAAATGGCTGGGTTCCCACGTCACGTCAGCGAGGGAATGACACGTTCTTAAATCAAAAGCACTTCAGCTCAAGAAGCAAAATTCACATTTCTTGCTTATAACCTGCAAAATGTAAACACGGTTTAAATGCAACATACCAGGGCAACAGCCAACAAGAGAGCTCAACAGACACAGGCTGTGGTGAGGATGGATGCAAAGGCCAAAAGCCTCTACAGAAACACGGCTGCTTTGGGATGCAGACAGGGGCAAGGGCTGAAGAGCAGCACCCCACACGTGTGGGGCAGTGGTGCTGTGGGGCAGAGGCTGTGCCTGCTCCTCTCTGGCCGTGCACAGAGGAGCCTGACGTGACCTTACCAGCATTTCTTGTGTTCCCTGCAGGGTCTGAGCAGTGCAGCTCTCCTCCACTGACCTCAGCAGGAGCCCACGGACCAATCCAGAGATCTGGGTTAAATTCAAACCTCTGTGTGTGTCACAGCACACCAGCCCCTTACTGCAATGCTTCTGCAGCTCTGGGGGCTGGGAGCGCTGCCTTTCCCAGCTACAGCAAACTTTGCAAGAGAAAACTGCAGGAACAGCAGCAGGTATACCTTGTAAAAGTGCAGTTCTGTAAATCTCTCCTTATTTTAGCTGCCTGCTTCACATATTCAATATTGGCTCATTTGCTAGAGAAAACTGAATTATTTACTTTGTAGGCTAAAGAAATAAACCCAGTCTTTTTTTTTTTTTTTGGTCTCAAATATAAGTTGATGCCCTTAAAGCAATTCTATCTAATAGTTTACCTCCCAAATGTTGGAATGGATTTCTCAAACTGAAAAAGAAGTTTTCCCAGGAGGACAGAATGGTGTGTGCACATGAAGATAGCTAAAACCAGTTCAAATGTTTTCCTAGTCCTTTAAAATTAAATGTGACATAGTCAAGAAAACAATCAGGTATTTCCAGCACTGGAATAATATTAACAAGGGCAGAAAATAGTTATTGTGGTTTGATGTCATCATCAGGGACCTATCAGGAATGATGTCAGAATAGGCTGACAATATTTAGTAGAAAATGAGGAAACATTATACATAAGGACACAGCCTAGACTTATTGCCACAAAGAAAAATTACAGTTGAATAGCTTATTACTTTATTAAAAAAAAATCACCATTATGATTTATTCTTATTACTAACATAAATGTTTTAAAATGTATTTGGTTTATAATGACAGCTCTGGTAATTCTCTTGTATTAGAATAATTTGTTTCCTTAAAAAAAAATCCCTTGAATTAATGAACTTCAAGATTTTTATGGAAGAGCAAAAATTTTCTATCCTAAATTTTTTAACTCTGCAGTCATGCTAAAAAATGGTATTTTAATAGCCTCATGTAAGCCTATTTAAATAATTCCATTCTCTTTTGATTATTAAATGATTTTTCCATTATAGTGCAGAATCAGAGTTTAATATGGACTTCTCATTTTGTACATCCTTGCCACCCCTGGGAGAAAAATGCCATGAAAGCATCCTCACACCAGTCTTCAGGAGCTACTGGGAGTGCCTGACACTTAGAAACAGATACAGATTTCATTTGTACTCTGTATTTGACTTTCCAAACCCAAGTTTGTGTCAGTCACACAGCCGTGGTGCTTTTCCTGGGAGGCTGTGAATGATCTCACCCACGAAGGCGCTGGGTAAGGCCAGGGGCCAGCAGCAGCTCAGCACCTGACACTGAGAGACTTCTCTGAGCTGAAGCAAAGCTGCATAAAAAGGGGAGGGTGGAAAATACCAGTTATGTATCTACCAGAACCTGGAGTGGCAAAGCCGAGCAGAGTCTGAGATCGGTTTGGGGAAGCAGGCAGAGACTCGTCCTCCACTTCTTCTCGGGGTGGCAGCTCTGGGGTGGCTCGGAGCTTGCTGCTTGCCTTGGTGCTCAGTCTCTGCTCTGACTGGCAGCCAAGGGCTGGATGTTTCTGGGAAGCCTGTTATCCCAGCCCCTCCAGACAAATGCTGCGCTCCAGAGCTGGCAGAATGAGGTGTAGGCACGGCAAAACCACAAGCCAAGAGCTGCCAGCCACTGCTGCCTAGCTGGGTTCATGGAAAGGCAAAGAATCATATATCCTGTGTGCAGACCCCAAACCCTAGGAGTCATTGCTTCACCAAGCAGGAGGCAAAGCAATTAGCATTGATGACTGAATGTAACGAGAGGGAAAAATAGGGAAGATTCAGCTGGGAAAGAAGCAGTGAGGGGAATTTCATTACCAGATCTTCACTTTGTTTCAGGGAGCTGCTGGATTGGTATGGCAGCATGTGAGGCCTGCAGGGCAGAGAGGGCTTCCTGCCACTCATCCCAGGCTAGCAAAAGACTAGCAGCACACTGGAATACTTTCCCTCCATCTCCTTTAATATTAATAATTTCTTGTCATAGTGAAATCACACTGTTTAGCAACCCTGGCTGCCCTTTCCCCTCGTTGTGTGTGACTCCCATTGCCACCAAGCTTTTGATACTCAAAGGTGGCACAGCTGAAGTGAAAAGGGGCCAAAATTGAATTGAAATAAGCAGCTGCTGTGAAAGAGCTGACCTCCCACAGCACAGGCTGTGCCAAGTCCAGGTTTAGGCTCCCAGCTGTGGTCTTGTCCAGGAGCTGTGCTTGCCAGGAGAACCACTGTGTTCTCCACATTCTCTCATCGCATCACACCCACACTTTGCTGCAATGTGTATTTGTCCACCGTTTCCACCTTGTTTCACACAATAAACCCATGTTTTGTTGCCATCCCATTTCCCACAGATGCAGCAGGGCTCACTGCTGGCCAGCCCTGCCCACTGCTGGCTGGGGCAGAGAGCCACCCCTCTCTGGGGTACTGCCTGTGCCTTCAGCTTGTGAGCACACCTGGATTCTAATCCCTGCTGCACACACAGGTGGGTGCAAGTGAACACACAGACACACCAGAGCTCTTGTAGGAAGACAGTGTATTTATAAAACACGAGGGAGAATCTGTATATCCCCCAGCTCCAACAGAGAGCTGGCCCAGGAGTCGTCTTGAAGGCACAGAGCCACTTTAAGGCAGGTAACTCAAAGGTACAACTCAGATTTTTAACACAAGGCATCTGTATCTAAGAAACAATCAACTTCACATATTTGTAGGCAATGAGGAGAGATGTTCATGCCGGGCAAACATCAAGACAATGATGAAACAAATCATAATTTTCACACAATACACTTTGCTCAGATTAAAAGCCAGCCCTTCTTCATTCCTTTGCTGACCTGCAAAGCAAGCCTGAGCACCACACTTCAGTGCTGAAGACACAGTCACATTCCTAGGCAGAGCCCCCTTGCCCTGCACCTCACACTTGGTGGCCTGGACTCCCCAGCCTGGCCACATCCCACCCTGGAGAAGGTCTCTTTGCACATTGTCCATCGTGTCCCCACCACAGCGCTTCCGGAGCAGCTTGCTCCTGGCCTGGTGCAAGGAAAATCCTAAGCCACTGACTTCCTCCAGCTGTCCAGCCAGGACACAGCCAGGATGCACATGAGGGCCAGAATCTCCAGCACAGCTTCCTAAAAAGATCCTGGTGACAGAAATGTGACCAGCTGTTGAGGGAAGTCAGCTTCCTGGCCATGCTCTTTCACTGCACGGCTGGGGGACCTGTCCCCGCTGTGCCTCCTGCTCTCCCCCTCTGTGTGACTCAGGCTGGGGAGAAAATCTGCAGCCTCAGAGCAAAGCCCAGCACTGCTCCTGCAAGGTCTGCTGCTGGGGAGTGAGGAGGTTTTACTGCTGGCCAGTAAGCTGGGGAGTGTGGAGCCCCTTCCCTCCCTCCCTATTCCTGCAGGGACCTCTCAGCACCAGGGCTGGAGGACAGTTTTTGTCCCTGTGGGCTCTCCAAGCCCCTCCACAGAGGCTGCCAGCTAGTGCCCACGAGTGTTAATCATGTTTGCTATTGCAATGCTTGGATGCCAACTGAGAATTCCCTCTGAAAGGGAAGAACATTTGAGATGGCAGCTCTGACAGCAGGGAAACTGGCCATTAGGAAACTGGACTGAAAACTCCTTACACCTCCACCAACTCACGAGGTAGTTCTGCTTTCACTGGCCTGGGTTACAAGGTGTGAAGGAAGGAGTGCAGTCACAGCTGAAAAACGGGACAAAATCCCCAAATTCTGCTGGCAGTGCTGCTGTGCTGAGGGGTGCACCCGACCGTGCTGTGCTCTGGGGTGGGGAAGGCTCACGGTGTTTGTGCCAAGTGAGTTAGCTCCTGGATGCACCCAGCTCTCGCCAGTGCCTGCAGAGGGACGCCAGCTGCTGACTTTAGGTCACATCCAGGGCCAGATGTGAAAGGACACGGTACAAAGAACTGCTCCCTGTGCCTGACATGGGGACCCAGCAGTGCTCCATCTGCAGAGCGGGCAGCAGGCTGTGCCAGCGTGGTGAGCTCCAGCTGCTCCTGCAGCCCTTCCCTGTTGCACAGGCACTGCGTGGCACGGCCAGCCTGGCCAGGCCAGTCCTGGAGCCTGGAAAGGAGCTCACCTGCACACTCGTGGGGCTGTGCTGGGGCTGAGGGAGCCACAGGCTCTGGCTTGCACCGGCAGCGTGACTGACGCTGCACATTCCAGGCACAAACACAGCTTATTGCAACATTGCATCACAGGGCTCTGGTCTCCCAAACTCCTGTAATACTTAAAAAAAAATTAAAAATTCAAAAAAACTGTTGACTGTTGTCAGCCTCTTCCCTCTCACCCCAACTGCCACGATTTAATTTCTTAGCATTTGCATGGGTGAAGTATTTTCCCTCATTAGGAAGACTGCTCTGCCTTGGGAAGCTGCCTCTTCTGGGATATTCAGTGTCTGCATTCTGGCAAAGGCTCCATGGATTCAGAGACACGGCCATCTCTCCTGCCTGCTTCCCACCACGGCTGCACAATGCACAGCAGAACTTTCTGGTATCTGCTTGACTTCTAAATCCATCAGAACCCAGACTGACGCAAGCAGAGATGATTTGACACAATTTCCATCTCACGTGCCAGAACTTGTACGTTCAGTTTGCCGCAATAGCGGAACTTGGTGGACTCGTCAAGCACCACAGGCCTGTAAGAAATGAGTGCCTATTCTGAACTGGCATCTACTCCATCAGCAAAGAGCAAAAAAATCTAGCACCATGTCAGCTTTGCCTGTGTTCTGCATACATCCTCTACTCCTTCCCAGCAAGTCCCGCGGAACTGGGCACCACGAGCAGCATCCTATGCCACACTCTCCCCTCAGGCTTGAGACCTTTCCAGCATGGCATGGGGACACTGAAGCTCCAGTGGAAAGCACTGAGTGAGCCAGTTCTGGGTTTATATAGTCCTCTAAAATGGTTACTGGGTAAAAAAAATCTTGCTTTACACTAACAGGAGTTTTAGGGGATGAGACTTCCCTGTGGCACCAGGCCAGCTGTGGGCTCTCCCCACAGCTCTTGCATCAATGACAGCATGGGTTTGCCAATCCTTTTGTTCACTCAGCCCTCTTCTGTCCTCACTGTTTGTTACACCCAGTGCATGTGCCAAGACCTGAGGCCACCTCCTCTGTACCAGGCCAGAGCTCGCAGGGCTGCTCCAGAGATGAAGCACCAACAACTGCGCTGGTTCTCCAGCCAAGAAGCCTGGTCTCCACAAAAGAGTCAAACTGTGACAAGACACAACTGTGAGGCCATAACTTATTAAATTAACTTTTAGATGCCGCATAAACGTACAGCATTTTGAGAGCAGAAGACTCCTGTCTCTCCTCTTCTGACAAATCACAATATTTCAACTAATAAAATATTGCCACTTCTTCCCTGCTAGGATTTCCCTGATATTGTTAGGACAAACACACGTCTGTCGGATAAGGCTGCAAAGTTCCTCCTGAGATGCTCTGTTAGCTTCTCTGTACAGTCCCCCCACCACCCTCAGGCGGTGGGTCAATAATTTAGGTGGAATTGTAACATCACCCTCGCCAGCTCACCCAGCTACAGGCAAACATGGCTCTTGTAAGGGAAATGTATTTGCAACTCCATCCACGGCCCATGATTTGCTGAGCACGAGCAGAGTTTTTCATAATGACCAAAGTGAAAAGCACAGAGAAACATCCAAGCACCAGCAGCCTAAAGTGCCTATCAGCTCCTCTGCACCCAGATTTCCTGAAGTCAGCACATGGGCATGTGGGTGCAATGCTGATTAGAGAACTTTGGTCCCCTGTCCAAAACCATGGGTACTGGAGAGATGGCAGAGGAGAGGAAACGGGGACGGTTGTGAGTTCTTTTCTTTTTTCTTTTTTTGCATGTAAGTTTTGAAAGAGAAGCTGCGTTGCTCTAAATAAACCGTTCTGGGCTTAGCTGGGATTTGTGTTTGTTTGGTGCAAGACTCAACAGGAACCACGGCACCTCTCCCCCTGTACCTTCCACCAGACTGCACGGCAGGAAACAC